TTGGTCGACCGATGATTGGGGTGTTTTGTGGAGCGATCAAAGCAAGTTTACCAGGTCGAAAGTCGAGACATTTCAAACTCAAATCTACTTTGACATGCTCGCAGCAATTTGGAGGATGACTGGATTCTCATGCAAGAGAATGACCCAAAACAAACTTCTTGGATCGTTCAGAAATGGTTAGAAGAAAAAGGGAATCAAGATATTGAAGTGGGCAGCTCAAAGCCCAGACTTGAACCCACTCAAACATCTTTGGAGGTATTGGATTGCCGAATTCGCTTAAAAACATGCACAAAAATATCAGAGCTGATGAAGGGAGTCCACGACGAATAGGCAATACGGTACAGATTTCATTCCAATGTTTTCTAACAGCACGTTGAAGGGTTTAATCGAATTGATGCCGCATAAATGTCAGCCTGTAATCGCTGCTAAAGGATTCCCAACTAAACCCCCTATCGTTCACGCCTATGCTACGTTATATGGGTTTACGTTATATAGATGCCGTTTTATAGCTTAATCCCCTCACGCCTTACGTTATAGAGAGGTTTACGTTATATCGAGGTTCGTTATAGAGATGTTCGACTATTAAGACTTATTATTTTTAATTCAATAAATTTTGCTACTTCATAAGCGTGTTCAAACTTTTGACTATCCCAAAAGAGAGTCATTGCAAGAAATACATATAAAAAAAGTGAAAAGGCAAAATGAACGTATAAATTTAAAAAAAAACAAAAATGACACAGAATAAGTTTTTAGTTAGTTGATTAACATTAACTAGCGACGAGATGAGCGCCTTTTAAGTTCGCGCGGATGGATATGTTCAAACTTTTTGACCACTACTGTACATCATGGATTTTCCACAAGTCAATAAGCCAGTCGAAAATGCTAGTGAAGAACATACTTTCCTGAAGTTAGTTCAAAACTTTTCAACTTTTAGGAGTTTCGCAATGTGCACGCGTGTGGCCCATTGAGCATTGCGAAAATCTCGGCACTCATCGAATGCTCGAAAAGTAAACGCGACTTTTTCTCGAGGACTCTTTACAAGTATGACAAATATGGGGAATTGCCTGAGCTGCTCGAGAAAGTGCTCTTCAACAAATGGATTTTTGTCTTTTACAGTCTAGTGAGTCGATAATTACCGGTACAACTAATCAATAAACCCATACCAGTCTGGATTCTAGCCAGGATTATTTCAAAGACATGTTCCGTTGTCACTTTTTCATGCTTACATGAATAAAGTATTGATATAAAAGCGATTTTCCCGGGCCTAGCCTGGCTTGACTTTGCTACGTTCTGAGGACTTGTTCAGGCTGACATTGGCCTAGCTTAAACCTGGCCTGGCCTAGTTCACAGCCCTAATGATAGCTTTTATATTCAAAAAGATGACAAGGACCTTGACAAAGAACCCCAATTTTCAGCCACACGATGGCTTCGGGGAGAGGGAGACGATTAATGAGTACGAGCGAGTGCGCAGAGATCTTCCGTTAAACGTTCCGACCGAGACCCACATCGCTTTACTGAGCAATATAAAAGAGTGGTTCATCGTAAAGAAAAATGTTTTTTGTTTTGTAAAATAGTTTCCAAGAATTCAATTCAGAAGGGAGAACGGGAAGAACCGGAGCAAAGAGAAAATGAGGAGAAACGACGACAAGCCGAGATATTGAGGAGGCTGGAAGATGGGAACAAATCGAGGAAAAGATTCTCTTTCCCGAAACTTCCAAACATCTGCAATCCAGGCAGGAAATTGCTTAATAACTAACATTGTTATTGGGTTGATGGGTATGAAATGTCGCTAAAAATAAACAACTGATTTATTCAGTCTTTTACATGCAATCCTTATCAATATTTTCCATTATTTTGGATATTTTGAGCTCATTATATTGGCAAAGACGAGATGCCTTTTTTGTAGAAAATTATTTGGTTTTAATGCGAATTAATCCGTGAGCCACTTTTTGACACACCATATTTGAAATCAAGCGTTTGTTGGTCAAATCAAAGGTAAAAAATCTAAAAACAGTTCTAAAATTTAGCCAATAAACCAATGTTTGATAAGAAAATCTTTGTAAATCATCATTTTATAGCTAACTCATATGGAACGACCTCACAGTATCAAGAGCATCCACAAGCGATAAACCGTCACCAACCAGGGTCACGATCGAATCAGAGGACTGACTCTGGCCAAGCAATGGAACTATTAAACGATCTTTAATAAATTTTTGAGTTAATTTTTTGTGGAGCAGAAAAAAAAACGTCGATTCGATGGTCAATTCGATTTTTTTTTGTTTTTATTTCAGTTTTAATTCTGCTTTTAGTTGAAAATATTTCAAGATGAGCGATCAGGACAAGAACTTATCGGTAAATGACTATTTAAACAAAAATTGAATTCATTAAGATTAGTTTTTGCAAATACCATTGAAAACTGGGTTTGAAGATATTGAATGCCTGGAATTTTCTTGAGAGTATGAAGTCGGGTAGTCAAAAAGGGCTAACTCGAGATGCGGTTAAGACACCTTAGCTAAACGAAAACCTATCCGTGTCAAATAGATAGAGAAAAAAAAGTTTGATATTTCCGGCCAAAATTTCAGAGAAATCCATTCAGCCAATTGTTTCCGAGAGCTTTTTATAGATTTCTTACGAAAAAGGCGTTTTTCACCCTCGGGGATTTGCTCGAAAGTGTTAACCGAAATTCGATTTAAAAGAGCAAATTGGACATAAAACACTTGGTTTTTATAGTTCAAACTAGATTAATTGGTGAATTTCTTCTCTTTCAGGTGCGAACACTGAAAAAGCTTTTGATTGTAAGACCAGGCCAACCGCTGAAAAATCCATTGGGTTGAGGTCTGGAAAGCTAAGTGGCCACTCAGAAAAAGAAATGAAGTCCGGGAAGTTGTTTTGCGAGAACTCTTGGACTTTCTTGGATTTGTGCCATCTTGCTGATAAGTTCAAATACGATTTCCAAAATGTTTACGAGCCCAGGGCAAGAGTTCATCCTTGAGAAGAGCCAGGTAGTTATCGGAGTTGCACGCGTGATACCTTGTTGCGACAATTATGGCGCCCCCTGTGTATGTACAGCTTAGGGAAAGAAAACTGTGTATGCACTTGTACACTATTTGAAGTTAAAGTTGTTAAAGTTAAAGTTAAATCTCGGGTTTGAGATTTATGTAAACATACCTCTAGACAGAGAAATCTATTAGTCTAACCGGTGTGAAGAGCATTTTTTTGTATTTTTTGTTAGGTTTATTACCCGTACCTAGTTCTAGAAACTAGTACTACCCAGAAATGTATCTAGCAATGAAAACTTTTAAAAAATTTAAGAGGAAGAGTGAAAATCTAAAAAAAATCTAACGAATACGATTGCAGGAAGAGGAAAGAGTCCTAGAAGAATTGCTAAAGAGAGCTACAACGAGTCAGGAAAAGCCAAACTTCCAAGTTTTACTATTAAACAATAAATGTTTATTTACTTCGTTTTCGAAATTCCTATACACGGTGCGGCCAAAATATCCGGTGGGACATATTAGCACAAATCTCTTGGGCACAAATCCTCATCTGAAATCTCTGAAATCGTCCAGACCGTTCCTCGTCTTGGAGACTTTCATTTCCATCTTTGCACCGTTGAAACCATCTTTGGCATTGTCTTTCGCTAATGTTGTCTTCCCCAAAAACTTCAATGATTGTTCGATGCGATTCAACCGCGGATTTCCCTTGTTTAAAATCATACCACAGAGCGGCTCGAAGTCGAAACTTTTCGTCGTGCATTTTGTACCTGAAAATATTGTTAAATTTGTAAAAATTTGTAAAATTCAAATATAATATGAAAGGATAGAGTGTCTAGCTGATATCTATTTGAAAAAAAATCGCATAAGCAAAGAACTGGAATTCAAAACCGACATTACTTTTTCCTCAACCTAATACTTTTTCCCATAATAGCGCGAGAACTCATTTATCCACGCTTCTTTTCATGTTTATGCGTTGACGGGGTAAAGATGTAGAAGTTTCAAATGCTAACCTCCAAAAGTGCTAACTGCCCAGGCAAGGTTAATCGATGAAAATCTCTCTTAAAAACAGCAGAGACGGATGTTTTTAAGCACTTTCGAGTCAATTACCTAACCAGACTTGTTTCCTAATAGTAATCACTGGCAGGTTGAGTCAAAAATGTTTTGATCTAAACATAAACAATAAAAATTCTCAATTCTTTAGAAATCGATTAATTTTGCACTGTTTTCAGAAGATTCTTTATCTCCAAAAGAAGAAAATGCGGGAAACGAAGTGTTCGAATGTTCAGGCAAAAAACGATAAAACAGATCGACATTTTGTGATCGAAACCGATCGAAAAAGACCAAGAAGACATCGTTTTTCATTTGGAATCAAGCCAAAAGCTATCAAAATTCAATCAAATTTTGAAAAAAAAGTCACAAACGATGATTCGAAACAAAAACAAATCAAAATGGACAAAGAATTTGAAGAAATTTTGTCTTTTGCTACTTCTTTTCTCACCAAATATTCTTCGTTAACGGTTTTGGATCAAAATTTGTCCAATGAAAAGTCAACTATGGATCTTTCAAAGGATGTCTGTGGATCTCTGTGGTAGTTGGCATTATTTTTTGAAATTGTATTCAATTACAGTAATCTGTTGCTATCTGAAAATGATGAAATGAAAGCTTATAGTTTGGGTAAATTAGTAAGTATTTAGTTTTTTTCTGAAAATTCGATTTCAATTAAAATCGATGATTTCAAGATGTACTTGCTTCAAAAGATTTCTGCGATCCTAAGCTATCATATCCTAGCTGCTTTATCCTACATATTATAAGCGAGAGAGTATGTGTGTGTCTGCGTGTGTGTCTGTGCTTGTGTATCTGTCTACTATGCAATTTTAGTTCCATTCCGTTTTGGGAATATTCAGCTGTGATAAATTTTTCGTATTCGCTTTTGAAAAGTTATACAAAAGTTTTATTGGGTTAAAAATCATAGAAAGGATTTCTCAAATATAACATTTTAATTTCTCAAACATAAGTGGATTTCTGATGCTGATGTTGAGCTGGGTTTTGACCTTGATGCCCAAGTGGGCCATGTTGAAAGGAGACATTCTGAAGATCTGTTCTGGTTTTGCTTCAATTTTTCTCAAAACCTGATGATGACGCACAGATCTTTGAAAATTCTCATCCAAATATTGCATCAATGACGGAGGGAATTGAATCGACAACCGATGGGCGACTTTGTAGGCGAAATCTTGCATCTCCTCGAAACACAAATCGTTCCTCTGAAAAAGCACTGTAGATTATTGAATGCTGAATGCTAAACCGTGCCCCACGGCTACCGTAGGCCCTCAATTGTCTTTTAATACATGCCCACTTTACCGTAATCTAGCGTGATAACGTTCCTAGGTTTATCCAACTCAAGTTGGTCTGATTTGGCGAGCATTCAAAGATCCGGGTACTTGGATACTAACGAGGCAAGCTTACGATAGTTTTCAAAAGTTTGATTCAAAAGTTTCAAATTGACTCACTAGTAGAAACGAAGAAACCTTAGTAGAAACGTTGACCCACTTTAGAAAGCACTTTAGTCCAAACGAGCCAACCTCCAGCTCAAAGCATTAAACTTGAATAACGTTAAAGTCATCTACTTTTAGACTTTTTAATTTTCGTCTACACGATTCGGCTCAGCCTACCGGCACTTTCTCGAAGAACATCATCCACTCTTTTGCGAGACTCCAATTGAGCACATTCTTCAATTCTTGATCGTAACCATTTTTCACCAAAGTTTGAAGGAAAAACGTTCGTCTCGAGTTCGAGTTCTCGATCAGAATCTCCAAAGTGGCACGATTCAAATTGGTGACTTTTTCGAAGTCCTAAAACGAATATTCAGTCAGGTTGCTGAAGTTAACATAGTGTAAATAGATGCACGATGTACAGGCTTCAAACTTCCCAACCTGCCATTGTTGATGTGCGAATTGCCGTTGAACTACCTGGTAGTCGAGCTCTTTCCCCTGAAAATGAACACAATATGGCAAGCATTTAGCGGTGAAACAGTTAGATTACTAGTGTATTAGATTCAGATTTGTAACTTTTCTCAACTCCTCTCAACCCACCAGCATCCATACTCCTGATTTTTTAGCTTGATTTTTCAAACCCTTTCTCTCCTCCTCGCTTATCGTGGGATCTGTTTAGGTGGAAAAGCCAGAAAGGGTTTGTTAGGTTTCTAGTTATTGCAAACGATGTGAAAGAATTTAGCAATTAGATGGATCAATAAAGGAATTTGAAGTTTGGCTTGGGCCCTTAGTTTTAGAATTAATATATGTGCAAAAAGACTTCCCGTTTTTCGATTTAATGGCATTTCTTTCAATATTCTCCTCAAATTTACGATAATATTTGAAGAGCTTATTCAGTTCCCTGCTAACTAGAGGGTCGTTTAAGGGTTTTCAAATAAGAACGACGGAAAAAATGGTCTAGTCTATTTTTAGCTCTCAAGAAGTGCGGCCGGGTCATTAAAGGAGAATCACCACACACTAATTCCTTCGATTTTAGGAGACTAGCGCAAAAGATGTCATAATCTTTGTCAATAGAATTTGAGGAGGCACAAAAATCTGATCGATTTAGAGAATCTAGTATACACACCGCCGCTTTGTCATAATTAAAATCAAAATGCAAACAGACGTGATCCCTTTCCTTCGGAGTAAAACAAGTTGAACCAATTTTGAAGCTGATTGAGTGGTGGTCAGCGTCCGGGAGAGGCGGCAACCTTTGCAGACCGATTATGTCGTCTGCACAGTCACAAATCACCTAAAATTAGAAATGTATTTAAAATGAACACAGAGCTCGTAATAAGGAAAATTTCAAGTGACATAGTGGGATGATGTAACTTATATCAAATGCAAAAGGATCATTGAAAAACCCGACACGGAAATTAAAAACACCTGGTAGAATGTTTAACTCAGCAGAATTTAAAAACGTCGATAGATGGTTTAAAAGATGTATCTGCTAAATTTACATCAGGAGGGCAATAAATAATAAAAAAGCCGGTCTTTTGGCAAGAAAAACATACACTATAATAATTTGAGAGTTGAACTTAGACACAGAGCAAATCAGCGAGTGTTTAAAAGAATTAGAAGCAGGAAAATAGCCCCACAACCATGAGATTTTCGGGACTATGACAATACCGCACCGCCATTTGCGCACACATAAAAGCGTCTTTTGCGCACGTAGTTTTGCGCACAAGTCTTTTGCGCACACAAACAAAAACGGGACCATGATGATTACGCCGTGAAGATTGCGCCGCAAGCCAAAAACGAAAACTCGTCGCAAATATTTTAAATTGTTAAAATTAAAATTTTTGTTTTTGTCGTTTACAAAGCCTGAAGGCGGTAGAGCGATCAACGATAAAGAGATCACAAATGGCCTTCACTTTCATCCCTCCTTGACGGGCTTTGACAATGTTTGATAATGTCGAAGTGTCCAGATATCGCTCGCAGGGCATCTAAAAAAAATAAATTAATGCACAAAAAACAAAGTCAGAAAAGAAAAAGAAAAAGTTTACAACAGAATACAACGATGGTGCAAGACTTTTTTTGCGCTCTAAACTGGGTGTCTCTAATAAAACTTATTTTTTGGGCCAAAAAAAAAAACTTGCAACAAAAATGAATAATATTCTCGGAAACTAGACCACAATGGTAGAATTAGTTGCCAACAAGTTTTCTCTGAAACGCTTCTTTTTGCGAAAAATTTTTTGTTTTAAGCCTTTGGGAGAGAATGGTGCAAGCCTTTTTTGCTGACTGTAATAATTGAATCGGCACTACCTTTGCATGTTTTTATAGTTTTGGAACTGTTTAAGTAGCTTTTAAAACTTATTGCACCTAGAGCACCAAACGCTTTGAAAACCAAGAGATTTTCAAACCATGATCTACGAAAATTTTAGAGCTCAAGAAACTCACCGTTTTCTATTCGAAGTGCTCAATGAGTTGCCAATCAAAATCTCTGAATCAAAACGAAAAACTCAGAAAAGACATTTTCTACAGTCAAAGCACTTGTGAGAATGTTTTATGCGGTTGTGTGATTGATTTCTTTGTCCCCATCGGGTGCATTGTGTTAATCTCGACAGATGCTGTGATTGAAAAAACATCAAGTTTTCAACGTCTATGAATTCAATTTGTGCTACGGTGCTGTGAAAAATAGTTTTTGATTCATAAAAGCACAAAATTTTCAACAATTATCTAGTCAATAGGGTTATTTTAAAAAAAGGCAAAATTAAAAAGCTTTCTTAGCAAAATTCTCTCGTGAACTATTGATCCAACTATAATCAAAAGTTGATGAAACACCTTTTAACAAAAAATCATGAATTCAAAACTTTCAGAGTGACAAGATTGTGATAAAAACGATCAAAAAGAGCGAGATAAATTGGAAAAAATTTCTTAGCAATAATATCATTGTATTGAAATCAAGATCTCACAATAATCGTGAGTCAAAAACAATATCTCTTTACATAATTGAGCAAAGCTTGGGTGGTGGTGGCGGAGGTCGGTTACGGATCTCGGCCATTTCGGCCTCGTGCGCCTGTCGCTGGCGTTCCATCGCCTCTTGTTGCATCTGGAAATGAGATTTAAAGTGAGGATTCTATTTTGTGAGGAATACTACCGTAGGGAGGCTAAGCAGAGAATGGGATGAGTTTAAAAGCTATTTCCTGAAAAAACCTTACCCTAGCCAATTAGGTCAAACTCGGCCGGATCAGGCCAGACCAGGACCAGTCTCAAGACACCCCTCTGACCGGGTCAGGTAGACTATAAAAGTACTGTCTTTCGGGCAGACAAATTGTGTCTTCGTGGTCAGCGGGTAGAGTCCTCGCCTCACATTTTTGCGACCCTGGTTTGGTCCCGACCAGGCCCCAAACTAAAAAAATTTTTTTTTTTTAAAAAAAAGGAAAAAAAAAATAGTTTTTTTAAAAAAAAAAAAAAAAAATTTTTTTAAAAAAAAAAAAAAGGGGGTGAAAAAAATTTATTTTTTTTTTTTTTTTTTATGAGAATGGGGGGGGGAAAAGAGGAGGTGATTAAGGGGTTTGAAAAAAAAAAAAAAAATTTTTTTATAAAAAAAAGGAAAAAGGGGGGGGAGAGTTTATATTTTTTAAAAAAAAAAAAAAATAATTTTTAATTATTTTTTTTTTTTTTTTTTTTTAAATTTTTTTATGAATATTTTTTTTTTTTTTTTTTTTTTTTGAAAAGAAAAAGAAAAAAAAAAAAAAAGGGGGAAAAAAAAAAAAAAAAATTTTTAAAAAGGAAAAAGGGATGGTTGGGTGGTTTTTTTTTAAAAAAGGAGGGAAAGAAAGAAAAGGCATCAGCCTAGTCGAAGACTCAACTAATTGCAAGTCCAGGACCCGGGTCCTGGACTTAAAATTAGTCGAGTCTTCGACAAGGGCTGAGTCTTGATGCTAGTCTGCTGATTAGTTGTTGACAATCGACAATCTGTGTTGAAAAGCCGACTAGACAAGTCAAGCCAGACAAACTGGAATAAGCCGGCCTTTATCGGTCCGGGTCTAGTTTTGCCAACCGTTCTTGGGTCAGTTCCCCATCATCATAAAGTCTAAAAGCACTAAAATAGCCTATCAAATGCCCCTCACCCTCGTGTCATCGCGTCTCTCCTGGTCTCGAACTTCGTCGCGACGAGCGCGCTCTTGTTGTTCCTGGGAATCACGCTTTGGTTGTGTACGTAAACAAATTTCAAATTTAAAGAATTAGCTTAGCTTTTCCTCACCATTCTCATCATTTCCATGTCTATTTCGTATCGTCTCTCCCTTTCTTGGCGATCTCTTTCCTCGCGAGCGATTCGCTCGGCCCTTTCATGCCGCATTTGCTCCATTTGGCTAAAGAGTACAACTTTGGTTTAAAAAACTACATTTACAATGAAAGTACTGTATGTTAAGACAGCTTTTAGAATCAAGTATTCCAGGTCTGACAGATTTCTTGGCTAAGCTTATAGTAAGAAAAGTTTTGACTAGAATCCTGGCTCAAATGATAAAGATGGCTTTTATGAAATTAAGGACTTAGGGTTCTTCATTCTTTAGTGGATTTTTACTACTTACGCTTGTGAATTCTCGTTCATCGCTTTCATCATCGCCAATAATCCCTGCATGTTTGAGCCGCCACTCTCGGCCTCGACACGGAGTCGACGCTCTTCCACTAAAATAGAAATGGGTCGCTTTTTTGTCTAACAATTAGATACAGTTCTTGAAATCGCACTTAAATTTTAATGACTTTAATCTGGCTATGTTTGACCAGGAGTCAACCCCCGGCTAAATTCCGGGGGTTAACCGGGGACCGATTCGGGCTTGAGATGAGTCAAACGTCAAAGTTAATTGTCAGCAAATTCACCAAAATCACTAAACTTTACGAAATTCAATAACTAAGTTGAGTTTGGGAGGCATAGTTATTGATTTATATTTCCCAGTATATCGGAACTTTAAGAAGTCAGCGCTAAGATTGAAAATCCGAATTCTATTGCCGATACTTTTCCCCATGTCAAGTATGACTTCAAAACAACGAACCCAATTGCTCGTTCATCTCTCCGATTTGAGTATTCGTTTCCTCTTCAAGCGATTCCAATCTTTTCTTGTCTTCAGCTTGTTTAAAATGGAGATCCTCCATTTGTTTGTTGAGCGCGCCGACTTTCAAATTGTGGCGAACCTCCATCTCGAAGCTGTCCTCGCATTTCTAAAACATAAGGTTCATCTAGAGTTCTCCGTCCTAACTGTTTTCTAAAATATGCCAGTGAATAAAATTTTCATAAGACTATCGTAGCCTTGCCTCCCCTTTCCTCACATCTAACTTTAAGTGGTTCCACCTTGAATTGTGCCAATTGACTGTCCCTGTAGTTGTCTAACAGATGCTCGACCATATCGGGCGAGATCTTGGGCAAAGCGATCGCCACATCGGCAACGAATTCAGCCTGAATATGAATAGAGCTATACAGAGTTTAGATTTCATAGAGTTTTCAAGCTATCAGCTTCTCTAAAGCCACCTTTTTGATCCCGTACTTTCCCCGGAGTAGATTCTGACAGGCATCGATCGCCTCTTCGATCTCCGACTCGTCTTTGATTGTAGCGACTTGCTGAAAGCTCAAATTTCTGAAGGGCTTTGGAATAAAGTTGTCTCAACTTCGCGTAAGGCAAGAGGCAAGCCAGAAGTCAGGTCTAGGATTGGCAAGGCCCAAGCCAGGAGCCAGAACGAGGTCAACGATAGGCCAGAAGCCAATCCTAGAGCTGACTGGCTTGGCTCTAGGTCTAATGGTAGGAAATTCTAGAAGCTGGATGCACAGGTATTATCGTATCAAAGCCTAATCACTTACTCCTTTCAACGCTTTCCAATGCTCTTCCACCAATCCTTGGAACATCTCGCCAACCTGTTGGTGAAGGTGCTGAATGGCGTTGTCTTGTTGTAAGTCCTCATATCGAGCCTGAAGTTTGGAGTTTGGATAAAGTTAGCATATCAATCTTTAAAAGCTTCATTAGCTGACTACCAGATAGTCCAAATACTGGGGGTTTCTTAGTAATCACCTGAATCATCTCGTTGAGCAAGTTGCGCTTGTACTCGATCAGATCGGGCTCATCAAGAAAGTCTTGGACAACTAAAAATTGTAGTTTAATTCCTGATCTTGATTACTGTAGATACCTACAGTATTGCCTAATGCAGTTTTTTAAACTCAAATGTAATGCCAACACCAACCATTTTCAAAATGCGTCATCGCTTCGGGGAAAGCTTTCTTGTGGCGGTCTCTCACAAACTCAGCTTTCTTGTTCTTCTCCAAACTCTCGACAAAATCAGGCTAAAATATCAAGGGTACTTCGTGTTCAAAATTTCGAAATACATCCTTTCTGGTGCGCTGTAGTTTGAAAGTTTTCTCACCCTCATTCCTTTCTCGTACACTTCGTAAGCTCCATTGACCGCTTCGGCCATTTGAATGTCCCTATAACGATCCTTGTTGCTCGAGATCTTTTCCTGGCATCTTTCCTGGAAATTAGAAGTTGTACTTCATAAGAAAATTTGAGTTTTATAACGATCTACTGAAAGAAATCTAACCTCAAGCAGCTTTCGGAAGTCATCAAAATGTTTGCTCTTCTCTTCAGCCGATCCAAAAAGCTGATTCGATTGATAGGCCTAAACGGGTAAAATAGAATATTACGTTGAAGTTTTTTAGTTCTTTCTCATTTCAAATCAAAAAAGTAGTCAAACTCTGGCCAGACTTACTATTGACCAAGCTGAGCTAAACCTCTAGACTTGGCTGCCGACCTGTCCTTTTGGCTTACAGACGTAATAAAGCCCACCAGGTCTGTTCTCTGTCCTGGCTTTGGTCTTTCTTTGTTTCGTCTAATCTAGTTTTCAGGCCCTGGAGTCCAGAAAATTCCTTTTTACCTCAATGGCTTGTTGAATGAAATTCTGCAAGGCCTCCTCATAGTCTCGGGGTCGAATCGGGCGATGACCATGCTCGCGAACAAGCTAAAGCTTCAATAAGTGCAAAAACATACTAGTAATTTTGATAAACTGCTAGAAACAATTGTAACTATTTCAGATCAATAAAAGTTTTTAAATGGGACCATTTCATGGAGTCTCGCAAAAGTCTCATTCCCAGCGATGCGAGCCTTCTCAAAGAAGAGTTGTGAAGTGGCCTGAAAGACTACATCACTGAAAACAGAAAAATCTCACCGCAAAGGCCGAGCAAATAGCTTTGTGGCTATTTGAGCGAATGTGATCGACGAGATTCTAAAGGTTTTGCTGATGATCTAGTCTTTAAAAAGAGTTGATAACAGATTCTCAACAAATAACAAATTTGGATTTGCTAGTAGATGTGATCACATCAATTTTCTACCTCCACATATGCTCCCAAAGTTCTCCCAGTCAGTGGGGTACCCATCACTATTTTTGGAATTAAATTTTCCAGCACATGATTCGCGCATTCGCAGAGCATCGACAAGAAATCGTCGCCACAATCTGAAAACGATTCTTGAGGTGTACACTTGTTGGGTTACTAAGAAACTGCGTTTTCGGGCAGGGATGAATTAGCTAGGTCATTGTAAGCAAGACTAGGCAATAGACAGTAGACTAGTCACCCAAATCTACCCACCGCAACTTTGCATTTCCCATAGATCCAGTCAATTATACGAATTTCGATAAAACTAGCCGATTTTCCATTTTCTTTTTCGTGCGGTGTGATGTTTTTTCTTTTATCAGATGAAGAACAAGTGATTATACATTTACAACGTGCAGTGATATTGAATAACCGGAATGTGTCTATGGATACCCGATGAAATTTGCCAAGGACGATCGGAATCCTCGATTTCGTTGCCTCCGGCAACAATAAAAAGAAGTTGGCATCCAAGTGGGCTCATGGTTTGCTGGAAGCAAAGTTCCATTTGTAAAAGCTCTTCGTTTCATTTATGGATGGACACAGCAACGGAAATCGATTCGCTATTGTCAGAAGGAGCTTGAATCCGTCATTTAAATGAATCCGTCAACTACAATTGTTTTCAACAACTACATGAGAGATATTGGCATCGATTATCTGGAAAATAAGCAAAAGAAGCAAGTCGGGGGACCAGGACACCTCGTTGAAATTGATGAGAGTTTCAAAAAGGAAAGACAAATCGGGGAGAGTTTTGCCTCAAATCTGGTTTTTCGATTCAAGAGTTTGAGCCCGGTTCACTGATTATTTCCGATTCATGGCGCGGATACAACTTCAAGCAAATCAAAACTTCAACGACGAGAAGGTCAACCATCGCTTTAATTTCTTAAACTCAGGCAATCCGAACATTCACACACAATCTTGTATTTTTTGTAAGATGTAAGTAAGAAGGCAATAAATGCAAAGTTGCGATGGGTATAAATTTATTTGGGTGACGCAATGGGTAAAACCCATAAGTATCAAAATTTTCATTAGCTGAATATCTTTAAATTTGCCCTCACATTTCCCATTAATTCCCGATAAGCCATTAATGAGATTCCCGCTTAACAAGTCTACTAGGCCGGTCTGTTCAGAAATCAGGTTTGAAATCAGGTCTTTTGGTAGACCCAACTCATGGTTTAGGTCTACAAGTAATGCCAGAAATTCCATAGAGCTAGTTTTGGGCTAGTTCTAGTTCCACACGCAGCCAGTTTCATATTTTTAAACTCTTCAACCCTTCTACTACACCAGAGCTATGAAACATAAGCCCAATTTTACTATATAAGTTTAAAGTCTATCAGTCTGGGATAATAAAACCCCACCTTTAGCCAAAATCTCCCCCGAGGCGTTGATCACTTCATTGGATGGTCGGGGCACCATACAGCATTCCACTTTCTCGAACGCTTCAAAGACTCCATTGACGAGGCGGGCAAGTTCGGGGACGCGGCGAGTGTTCACCTGAATAGTTTTGCAGAAGTAGTACTAGGGTACAATAAAACATCCAGTAGTACTGTAATATAAAAGTACAGCTTTTTCCTTACTCTCATTTGCTCCAGGTATTCAGGGTCAAAGCCGGAGGCAATCGAGTCGCGAACCATGATCAGAAAGTGCTGAAAGAAGAGAGTTATGTGCAAAAAGGCTATCATGTACCAGTAGTACTGTATTGTCTACGGTATGCCAGACTGGCTACAGTAAACTAGCAGTGTGCAAGACTGACTGGCTACAAGCTGATTACAGGATGCCAGACTGACTACAGGATCGCTACAATATCCCAGGCGATTACAGTATTTCTACAGTACTCCAGGCTACTACAATATCATTACAGTGTGCTCACAGCCTGCCAGGCCGACTATAACATTGCTACAGTATTTCTACTGTACCCAAGACTTTCCCAAACCTGTCCCACTCTCTCCTCCGTCCTCTGACTGAAAGCAATGAACATATTCAACGCGTCCAAATCCTGTGCATCGATTTGACTCTTTGTGTTGAAGATCTAAATCACCTTTCTAGAATTTGGATTAGAAAATCCCGTACCTTGATCGACGACATTAATAGCGAGATGGCGAAAATGATGGCCGAGTCGGCAATGTTGCTGGAAGTGTCAAATGTGCCCTGAGTGTCCATGAGGATGACGGCTAGCTGGAAAAGTATTGAATGTGAACTACGTTATGTAATAAAGTACAGCTTTTAGCTCACTACAAGCTACAGTATTGTCACAGTAATCCAGGCAGCTTACAGTAGTGCTACGGTATCACTACAGTATACCAGGCTGACTACAGTATTACTAAAGACTGACTGTAGTATGTACACAGGTTTACCATAGTTAGAAGACTAAGTCTTAGAAATCTTCACCTCATTCCCATCTTTATCTTGTCGATCGAAGACTTTTGGCCAAACCATAATCCCTTTGGTGTGGCGCTCGAAGCCGCGTTGAAATTCGATTCGACCGCGTCCCCTGGAAAATTGGATTTTGGCAATAGCTTGATTCTTAAATACAGTAAGGGACTAAAGCCTTTGAATTATAAGATCTTTGAAAACCAAACCCGACAAAATCCTCTCGATCAAAACGGGCTTTTCCCCTCTGCAATCCATTTAAGAGCACATTATTCCAGAAGGTTTTTCCTTGCCGAAATTTCCCAGCTGTTGAAATCACCGATACCTGGCGATAAGTTAAGAATTTAGAGGAAATCTTTCTACTGGTCGATTGCCACATTGAGCGCAAAGTGAGTCGAGCACTTCCTTGTTGAAATACGTGTTCCCATCTTCGGTGATGTCAAAGAGTTGCAGCAATTTGAGCTCCGGCTGAATCTTGTAACTTGAATGGACTAAAGCTTTTGAATTCTAAGCCAAAGTACTACCAAAGTACTAGCGGTTTAGTCTTTGACTTTACCTCGTCCTCATTTCCATATGATCCAAGTGGGGGAGTAGTGTATTGGACAGAAGAAGCTTCCCGTTGCTGTTCTCCTTTTGTCTCTCTCTTCACCAACTCGGTGACACTCGGGGTTTTCTGGAAATAATTGTATTAGGAGAGCCAGTGTATTGTGATCAGTTCTTAAAAAAATAGCTTTATCCTTAGAATGGAGAATTCAACACTCACATCCCGGTTAAACTTGGCTTCAACGAGGCGCAGCGCTCGCTCACAGTCCGGCCGTTTCTTGATCTCTTCGAAGAGCTTCTAAATCAAAATATTTGATCTATCTTATAATACAGATATAATACAGATATATAGATTAAATCTTTCAAGGTTTAAACCTTTCTCGCGTGCTCTTTCCCAAGGGTGATCATCGTCTCGTCGGCTCCATCGTACTGCTCAATGTACTAAAATTTCAAGGTATTAAAAATGTACTAAAACCTACTGCAAACTGTTAGGCTACTGTAAATCTATCCAATCCGTTAGAATTTATTCTATCGATCAATCTATTGGCCAATCTATCGGCGATCTATTCGACTTGAGCATTTTGTCTCTTTATACATTCGCGATGACGCTATTTTGAGCATACAGTCGAGTAGGCGTTAACTGTTAGCTGTTTTACTGATAATTTGGTAAAACTTCAAAGATAAACTAAACTATTATAGTCATTTGATAGCCTTGAATCTTCTTCTGAAAACTAGTACAAAGCCTTTCACCCAAATTCATTTCCTATTTGAATCAGTCTCAGGCTAAATGAAATACGGTTTTTCCATTAGATGGTCCAATGATTTCTCTTTCAAATGACTTTTGAAACTTTCTGAAAAGCTTTATTTGGAAGATTTTTGATTAGAAAGAAGCCGAATGTTCAAAAAAAAGGCCCGATGATGCGATTTTGACTGTTTTTTCTAATGAAACCTACAGTGGTCCACAAAAGTAATGGCCCATTGCCATTCAAAAGTATTTTTTGCAAAATTCCTCCTGAAAACATGTATTTGAAATATATATTTTTTCTTTTAAAATACTTTAGAAATTCTAGTTGTTAAATAACTGGATTTTTTTGATTGAGATCCTTCCAATCAAAAGATCGAGGTGGAAGAGTGCAATTACCCCTAAAATTAGCTCCACAAAAGTAATGCCCCATTGATCGTTTTCATGATTATTCTTTTTGCTTCTCCTTCTATGAACATTAAATGTACTCTATTGTATTATTTAGATCCCTGACATGAAAAATCTTGACACTCCGAAGAAGCTCCAAATCGCTAAGGCCCGGGAAAATGGGATGCGGGAGAAGGATGTGGCCAACCTCTTCAATTGCTCGATATGGACAGTGCGCCGCATTTTTTCTCAATCAAAAGTCGGCAAAAACCTTCATCGAGGCCTTAAGAGTGGCCGACGACCAATCACAACCACAAAAGAAGATCGAGCCGTGATCCAAATGGTGAAAAACGATCCTAACAAAACACCAACCGATGGAAGCCAAATGATGAGGGACCAATTTAACAAGGTTGTATCACCGGAAACGATCAGACGACGATTAAATCAAGCTGGATTATATGCAAGAAGGGCTGCCCGTAAACCTCTGATGAATTCTAAGCACCGGAAGCAGCGCCTTGATTTTGCACGGGCCTACCGAAGTTGGACAATAAGTGATTGGGCGAAAGTGCTATTTACCGATGAGACAAAAGTCAATTTATTTCACGCGGACGGAAACCATCTTATTCGGCGGCCGACTGGAAAGCGATACACAC